AGGTGGGGCCAAGGGTCGTAACATATACTTAATGTACGATAGATTAAACTTAAGAAATAATAGCATAGATATTTCAACAAAGTAGAAGAAAATAAAGTTTATTACCCGAGTGAATAAACGAGGAATTCATTACACAACTAAATATTTTATTTATATCATGTAAATATAATTGTTGTAAATTTTGGGAGAAGGCTTTGTTAAGATTTGTGACTGTCTGTCGTCCCCATTTTATACCTATTTCAGCATAGATAATCTCATTTACTGATTAAAGTGACTATTAAGTTAATACTGTGGACTTGATATTATATCATTCAGTTTTTGACCGAAGCATTGGTGATAAATGTGTTCAAAGGATGAGAGGTTGCGAGTATGCCATGAAGGTATCGTGGCACGCGCGTGATTTGACCAATTTCCAATAATATAAAATGTAATAATATATTACATTACTCCACTTACTCCATGTTAATAATGCCATAAAGTTATATATATATATATATATATATATATATATATATATATATATATATATATATATATATATATATATTTATACTAGGCACAAGAAATAAGGGAACCCCCAATTAGAATTTATAGTTGAAACAATGCTACATAAAACTTGCAAGCTGATTGCATTCGAACCCAGATCGGAAATCACTTACGGCTGACACGATAGTCAGCACCATATTACCTTTACATGAAACACGTGCATCATGCACCACACGTGCCTTCCAGCCTATAAAACTGACAGTAAGCGTGTCCCAATATCTCTTGTGAAAATGCCTCCTCGACAGTACCTGACAAACGCACAGAAATGGCAGGCCATTGGCATGATAGAGGGTGGACAAGCTCAGAATAGTGTTGCCGGGTCCTTCAGGAAGTCCAAAAGTGTCATTTCCCGTCTCATCGACCTTTACCGTCAGACAGGGTGCGCTAAAATGAGGACCGGTCGAGGATGACGCCCTAAAACCACGCCCAGACAAGACAACTTCCTCAGAACTATAGCTCTGAGGAATCGATTTGTCACAGCCCCGGATTTGAAGATGGAATTCTTCAGAGCCACAGGAACACGGATTTCGAACTCTACTGTACGAAACAGGCTCCGTAGCAGAGGTCTTAAGTCAAGACGTCCATTCAAAGGCGTGACGATGACAACTAACCACAGACGTCTTCGTTATCGGTGGGCTCAGCAACGTCACAGGTAGGAGAACCGGCAATGGCGACATGTGATGTTTAGTGATGAATCCCGCTTTTGTTTGCGATTCACGGATGGACGATTGCGTGTGTGGCGACGCCGAGGAGAGCGTTTTGGAGACCCACGGTAAAGGAACACCATTCTTATGGAGGCGGATCTATCATGGTCTGGGGAGGAATTTCTTTCAATAGGAGGATTGATTTGATGCTTGTACGGGGTAATTTGACAGGCCAGCGGTATATGGAGGAGATCTTAAGGCCACACCTGGTTCCAATGGCTCACAGGGCAGGTCGAAATTTTGTGTTTCAGGACGATAATGCACGTCCTTACAGAGCTCGTGTTGTCGTGAACTTCTTGCAACAACAAGGTGTTACAACATTACCCTGGCCGGCTAAAACACCAGATCTATCCCCTATCAAACATCTGTGGGATGTGTTAGGGTGTCGAGTGCGTCTCAGGGAGCCTGCGCCAGCAAATCTTGATGTGTTAGGTAGGGCACTGCAGCAAGAGTGGCACTTGATTCCAAGGGCGATAATTCAGCGGTTGGTGTTCAGCATGCCTGGGGCGATCGCCATAGGCTGTTGACATGGTCGGACGTGCTTGTCAGCCGCTCCGCTGTAAGGGCCTGTGCTGGGTCTAGAATTTGATATTCATAACTGCGTTTGGCTTATATTTCTGTAGTATCATTAAGGTAAGTGATTGTAGGCTACCGAGGGTCAAATATTGGCTTATTTTGCCATATTTGTTTGTTTTGTTGTGTCGCGTTGACTTACCGCACCACGCGGCCTCGGTTTTCGCGCATTGTGTCTGCGTGAAATTTCTTATTTCGTCTTGGTCACAGGAATATTTGGGTATGGAGAGCGACACTGATGGGGATGGGGATGATAATATTCACTCTACCTCATTTGAGGAAACCTCGGCAGATGCTGAATTTGCAGAGAAATACGTGTCAATGATGTCCAAACGTTTGAAACGAAAACATGAGGATGACCGAGTTGTAAGTGATACGACTTCGACATTACCTATCAAATTTGTTGTCATTCTTACTTCTGTTGACCCAAGATTACGTTTAACAAACTTGAGTCCAATTGCTTTGGCTTTCCATAAAAACATTGGCGATGTGGAGTATATGAAAAAACTGGAAAAGGGAGATTTAGTGATACACTGCAGGTCTGCTGAGCAACTTAACCTTGCACTGAATGTAGCGTGTGTCTGTGACGTTCGTGTCAAGAGTTCTGTCCCAAAGATTCTTAGTGAATCTAAGGGAGTTATTTACAATGTTGACACAGGTGTAAATGAGGATGAGATAGTTGAGCAATTGAAAAGTCAAAAGGTTAAAAGTGCCCAAAGACTTTTGCGTGGAAAAGAAAAGCAACTTACTACTTCCATTCTTCTTACTTTCTCAACCCCACATTTGCCTGAACGTGTTAGGATGTATTATCACTCCTTCTTGTGCGTCTGTATATCCCATCAGCTATCAGATGCTACAATTGCCAGAAGTTTGGCCATGTTTCAACCCGATGTAAAAGTAAAAAGCCTGTATGTCCCAGGTGCAGTGGTGAGCACAAAGTAGAAAATTGTTCGGAAACAGTATCGAAGTGTTGCAATTGTGGTGGTAGCCACAGTGCTGCCTACAAGGGATGTGAGAAATACAAGGAGGCAGTATCTGTTCAAAGGGTACGAGTAGAGAGTAAACTATCTTATGCTGAAGCAACTCGTATAGTCAAGTCCACTCCAACTCCATCTTATGCAGCTACTGTAACCGCCGCTTAGAAACCACGATCTGTGTCGGTACAAGCCTCACAATAGACAGTTGGAACCCGTCCTGTTCCTCTTGCAGCTACATCTGGGTCTAACCCTACCTGTATTTGTAAATGTCAGTCACGAGAGTCACATTTAAGCCAGAGTGTATCAAATCCACCTGTTACAGCTCAAGTCAGCTCTCCACAGGTAGCCAATCCATTTCTTAGTACTTCTCCTCAAACCTTTTTAACGTTCTTGTTTGAGGTGATTTTAGGATGCTGTAATGCAACAACCAAAGAGGAACAAATTAATCGTCTTGTGTCGGCGGCAAAAATACATCTTCACATCGATGTTCCTAGTGATCTGTTGAGTGAGGTGGATGTTGAGATGAATGATGGATAAAGCTTTAGTATTCCTGACCATAATGCAATGGAATGCACAAAGTCTTGTTGCACATGGGGATAATTTATAGCATTTTCTATCAAATAGGTCACCACTGCCGGATATTATTTGTGTACAGGAAACTTGTCTTTGGCCAGACAGTCATTTTAGAATTAATGGCTAATTTGGTCTACGTCAGGACAGACTAACCAGCAATCCGAATACTAAAAATCCTCGGAGAGGTGGTTGTGCTATATTTATTAAGACTGATTTGTCGTATCAGGTTCAAGAATTACCAAATACAGTGTATGAGGCTAACGCAGTAAAAATTCATTATGAGGAAGATAAAGCCATTACTATTGTTAATATTTATAATACAGGTAAGCGTAGATGAATTTCTGAAATTAATTGATCCCAATGGAGACCCATAGTTTATATGTGGGGACTTTAACACCCATAATATGTTTTGGGGAAGCAACAAGACGGATTATAATAGTCAGATTGTTGAACAATTTTAGATGAAGCAGATCTTGTCCGTTCAAACGATGGTAAAATGACCCGCATGGATCTTGGCAAATGGACTTTTTCTCCTTTTGATCTATCAATGATATCATCACACATAGCCAGTAAGTGTAACTGGGATGTATTTCAGGAAGATGTGTTAGGTAGTGACCATTTTCCTGTTTTTACTGAATTTCAGGTTCGACCATATCGTGATTCTTGTGATAATGTCCCTCGGTGGAAATTCACGAAGGCTAATTGGGGCACTTTTTTCTAGTCTGTGTACTGAACATATCACATCCGATCTTATAAATGGTGATGTTAATATGTCTAATGAAGATATCACAACACAATTAATATGAATTGCAGTAGAGTCCATTGGAAAATCGTCTGTTAAGAAAGCGGCATTCCCGCCAAAGTCCTGGTGGAATGAAAGCTGTGAAAAAGCCAATATCGCAAGGAAAAAGGCATATAATTAGGTTCGCCACTCGTCATTGCCATGTGATTTGGCTGATTTGCGTAAGAAACGAGCTACGTTCCAACGTATTGTACGGAGTACAAAACGATTGAGCTGGAGGGAATATATTTCTAATATTAATAGATTTACATCATTAACTAGTATCTGGTCCAAGGTGAAAACGATCTGTGGAAATAATATTCGTTGACCTATACCGGTTATGGGAGAAGCTGGAGAACTCGTATCAAAAAGTCAGAAAGTAAATGCTCTTGTTAAACAATTTCAATCTGTTAGCAGTTCTGAAAATTATTGTCATGAATTCAGAGAATATAAACAAGTCATTGAAACAAACTTTATACCTGAAATGTCTTCTGCCATGTTGGAAAGTAGCTTGGAAATCAATGCAGCTATCACTCATGATGAACTTAAGGCATATCAAGAACACACAATTCGGCACCAGGTGCGGATGAGTTGTGGTATGAAATGTTTAAGCATATGCCAGATTCTACTCTAGCTGTTATTCGGGAACTGTTGAACTTAAGTTGGTGTTCTGGATCCTTGCCTAGGACATGGCGACATGCAATAATAGTTCCAGTGCCCAAACCAGGAATAGATCCATCGCTTCCTGCATCATATAGACCGATTGCTCTCACTTCTAATTTATGTAAAATCATGGAGAGAATAGTTACTAATCGCCTGAACTATTATCGTGAACGAAATGAGCTTCTTACCCACATCCAGTCAGGATTCAGAAAGGGGCGTTCATGTAGAGATCAGCATGTTCGTCTGGAAACTGAAGCACAGAAAGCTTTATGCAACCAGAAATACATGTTTGTATTCCTTGATATCGAAATGGCTTATGACATGATTTGGAGAAATGGTTTGCTTTTTAAATTGTGGAAACTTGGAATTAGAGGCAACATGTTCAAGTGGATATGGTCATTTTGTCCGAAAGAACCATTCAAGTTCGCATATGTCAAGAACTGTCAGGCATGCATATGATTGAAAATGGTACCCCACAAGGAAGTGTAATAAGTCCAGTTTTATTTAATATTATGATCAATGACATTTTCGAGGACCTGTCTCTAAACATAAATGCAGCACAGTTTGCTGATGACGGATGGTTTTGGAGACGGTTTGGTAATTTTCAGTTTGTCATAGAATCTATACAAAACTGCTGAAGTAAAGTCAGTACATGGTGTTCAAAATGGGGGTTTAAGATTTCAAAATCAAAATCAGTGGCAATGATGATCACAAGACGTAAGATCCCTCATGATATCAATGTAACTCTTGGACACCATAAACTGGAATTGGTGTCAGTGTTCAAATTTTGTGGTGTGTATTTTGATCAAAGATTAACATGGTCTCATCACATCACACATTTGTATAACACATGTAACAATATCATCAATCTATTAAAGTGTATTTCAAAAACAAAGTGGGGAGCTGAGAAGTCAACTATGTTATTGCTGTACAAGGCCCTTATCTTGTCCAGACTTGACTATGGTCGTCAGGTGTATAATTCGGCAGCTAAATGTCATCTTAATAAGCTTGATAGAATTCAGTCTAAAGCTTTGAGAATATGCACTGGGGCCTATTGTACCATTCCAACCTCAGCGCTTCAAGTTGAGTGTTCACAAATGCCCCTTCACCTTCGAAGACAACAGGTATCTTTGAAATATTTCTTAAAAATGAAAACCAAGAACAAACACCATGCAGTCACTGAGATTGTTAATGACTGTGTGGAATATGTCATGTGTGACTGGACTCATGGCAAATTACCCTTTGGCTTGAATATTCAGAGATTAGCTGATCAACATGGTATTTACAACTCTAACCCAGTTGATCCTTCTGCTCCGCCTGTCACACCTCCGTGGCTTCTGCTGAAGCCTGGATTGAATTCTGAACTCAATTTAATCGTGAAAAAGTGAATGGACCAAAACATAATAAAAGTGATAACTCAAGACTTTCTGTCTGAAAATTATTCTAATTTCACACATATATACACTGATGCATCGAAAGAACCATTCAATGGTCGTACTGCTGGGGCTTTTTGGATACCCAATTTATCGATCGCTAAGGTGTTCAGATTCCCTGATTATCCTTCTGTTTTTGCAGCTGAACTTTTGTCCATTTTGCAAGCATTGAGATGGGTAGATGAACATGACCATGAAGCAATTATCTTTACCTATTCCATGGCAGCAATCTAAGCTATAGAAGCTGGTGCAAATGGATCTAGAGATGACATTGTTCATGAGATATTAAAGTTGGATACATCTTTAAACATGAAGTACATTGCATGCGACATTGTGTGGGTCCCAGCACATGTTGGAATACATGGGAATGAGATAGCAGATAATTTGGCCAAATCCAGGTTACAGTTTCCTGAAGTTGATTTATTTAAATTTCAACCAATCCCTAAAGATTTTGAAAATGTTTTATCGAAATCTGTTAAAAGGAGTTGGCAACAGTTGTGGGATACAGGTACTACCGGCCGACATATGTACAAACTTAGACCATCACTAAAATCTGGTCATAAAATTCGTCGTCGTAAAAGGCGTGATGAGGTTATTCTTTAACGTCTCAGATTTGGACACTGTGGGCTTAATGCTTACAGGAGTATTATAGATAAGACGGTCTCTTCTAAATGTGGCCATTGCAATTTGGAGACGCCTGAAAACATCGAACATTATCTAATTGCATGCCCTGGGCATAAGACATTATCTCAGAAGTGCTGTACTTGAGGTTGATGATGTATTTTCATTAGAAACAGTTTTGGGCCCCAGTATCATGTATGGGTCTGTGCAACGGACAGTTTTAGATTTTGTCTCGTCATCTGGAAAATATGATGTAATCTAGACAGGCTCTCGAATGGCTTAGACAGACTTAGTTCTGTGGTTTTACATCATTTTAACACTCTGTCATCTGAACCTACTGCTTTTTAAATGAATGAGTATTTCATGTTTCAGAAATGGAAGTGATTACTTAAGGTTTTTAATCCGTAACACAAAGCAGAGGTTATTCGACATACGTATACAGCTATCCAAATTAAAAGTGTTGTCGTTTCTTTTATCTGAACTAAACGATTCCTTTTGGCGATGAAATTACCTATAATGATTGTTTATTAAATCAAGTCAATGTGTTGGGCGCCAATAGGCCTCTTATTGGCCCACGTCGCCCTAAAACTATAAAACCAACCAACCTTCAGCATGCCTGCAAGGTGTCGTGCATGTATTGCTGCTCATGGTGGATACACTCGTTATTAAGTATATCTGACATACTTACCGTACTGTAGTACTGATTAAAATATATATGCTTCACAAAGTCAAGGGGTTCCTATATTTTTTGTGCCTAGTATATTTGTCCATGAAAATACATATGTTCCTTTAGTTCCACAGTGCAATACATACCTTGTGTAGAGACCTGGAAAAGAATAAATATATATATACTCATGGAAACGAATAAGGGAGCACATGATATTACAAGTATTACTTTATTCTTTATATATATGTATGTGGTGTGTGTGTGTGTGTCTGTCTGTCTGTCTGTGTCTGTCTGTATGCCCCCTCGCATGCTTCAGCGGAATCTTCAATAAGTAGCAGGTCACCGAGATTCTGTATAGGAACATTTGTTTCACTTGGCGATGGCCAGCCGGTGTCATTATAATCAGCCGTATGGTTTCTTTGAGGTAGGGCATATGCCACTGGGGGCATTCATACAGACGTCATGTATCCTCTTCCTTCTTCAGGTTGTCCTGCATGGCTTTATGTCTAACTAGTTAAGAGTGCTTATTTCAAATGCCTGCACTGGCATACATACACATTACCTTGGATAATTCAGATAACAAGTTTCTACCCTGCCACCCCACGTTGAGACTCGTTAACCAAATAAAACCAATCACATTTCTTTTCTTGCTTTTGATTTGATTGCTGGATGCGTCTGCCATCGTTGTCGACGCGCCACTGTCAACCGATTGCTGCTTGGTCGGCTGTCTTGTCACACTATCCGGCCCGGCTTTTGCATTTAGCTGATTTCTTAAATCACTTATTTCAGCATTTTGGTTTACCCATTTAACTTTTTGTCAAACTCTGCCTTTACACCGTGAGAAACTCTATATCCGTTCCGTCATCGATTGCATTTATTTGTTGGGAAATAGGTGAGGCGTGTCTACCTTATAATCACCGTCGGACTGAATTCAAGAGTTCGCGCTGAGAGTTTTCTATTGTCTGCAAGTCATATTTGTGTTGCGTGTCACACGGCCCTGCCTTTCTTCGCAAAACCTATTTGGGGTACGAAATGTATAATGTTTAGGACGACATTATTCTGCCTGAAATACAGTATTAGGGAAGGTGTTCTCCATCTCATAATGGATCTTCAAATCATATCAATACAAATGTAGCTGCGGCAAAAACAATACAAATATACTATTTCTTTCCAGAACGTCATCTTTAGGTGATTGTAAACATCCAAAACGCGGCAATTTTAACTGTTTCCCTTGTTTTGGTAGCGTTTAAAGAAATATTCGCCAAACCGTCACCAACAAAACATGTAAAGCAAAATGCATTTGCAAGTATATATGTATGTGTGTGTGTGTGTGTGTGTGTGTGTGTGTGTGTGTGTGTTTTGATAAATTTTAATAATTTACAAAAGAAGACACCAGCTAAAGCACACCCTTGGTCATTGGTGCCATGTCTACGTGTTTTCTTTTCTTAAGCACAGTTTGAAGTGTAAATATTTCAGTGTCCAGTTTTGATATCGGATTGGACATTGATTAACGTCTTTGAATATTTTGCCGCAGTTGGTTTTGACCGCTGAATTATTAGCAAATAAACAATTATGTTTTTTTGCAGTTATCCCATTTTTTTGTCAGAATTTACGTCATAATAATTGGCACTAAGCTGTAATATTAATTAAAATTTTATGGTCCGATAAATATTTGTACAAATTTGCACATTGGCAAGAGCAGTATTCCAGCAAAGTGGCATTGGAAGTTGGAGTCAAGTCGTTTATGTGAGCTTCACTGATGATAAAAAGATATTGGACACTGTCAGATCTTGATGAGACTGGTTGAGCTTTTTTCAGCCTGAGTAGTTGAAAGCTGTCTGAATTTAAACATTAAGAGCAGTAACCAAATTGACTTCACTCATTGATCTCACAGTGGGGCAACTACTCACCGCGAATCGTCATTAGAAGACACAATGTGCAAGCATTCTTTAAAGCGCTACTCTTTGAAATGTTAATGGTTGCCTCGGCATCAGTTTGATTGAATCTCATAAACCGCTGAATGTTGATGTACGACTCAAAATGCTCACACAAAAAGTTAAAAAGAATATATAAAACATACAAAACACCGTCCCTCATGTGTTCTGTCTTAACGTGACCTCAAATTCGTTTCTGATGGCTCAAACGGACAGTGAAATCAAGATTGGCTCTTTACTGTGTGAAAGCATATATTTGGTTTTAGCAATACAGAAGAATAGGAAATGTGCCAAGGAGTCTTCGATTTCGAAGCTTCACATTGGATGTGCTTGTTCAATTCGCTGAAGGAAAATTCGCATGTGATTTGCAAATTCAACAGGAAAAGTGGGAAAACATCCATCTGAAAACGCTGTGGTTAATTCTTGAAGTTTCTCAGTATAACCACATAAACACATTTCTGTGGGCCTTCATCAAGTATACACACGTGAAAACCCATCAGAAAGAGAAATTATATATATACATTTACGTCTCAAGTAGGTGTCTACAACTGACGACCACTGTAGTCAGCAAACATAAAAAACTGAAGTGAACCGAAACATCGTAGCTCGAACATCCTTCCTTCCGTGAAGTCTATTGTACATTAATGAACGGTTCAGGGAAAGGTTTTAACATGTATATCTCAAATGGCCAGGTGAAAATAGATACTGGAGGAATGTTTATTTATTTATGTCTGAACTAGGTTGTGGTCTAATTGATTACGTTGTATCATCACCTGGACGACAGGATCATCTTCAGCCCGTATTGCTAGCTCAATTTTTCATCTCGTTTGACATTTGGTACATCGTAACTAGGGCTGTTAGAATTTGCACTGTAAAAATATTTGTTATACCATCTTTCTTTCAGAACGTGTTGCTCAGTCTCCAGTTAGCTGGTAGGGTTTTTGTCCATGAAGTTGTTTTTCACAACACATTAATCATACGGATGACCAAGTATGATGTTATTTTCATTATAACCCATGACATTTGCACCATTTTGAATATTGCACATGTATTTTTCCCCGTACATTATATTTTTATGTCTGCCTGCACGTTTGTAATTGAAACCTCTAGATTGTATTGCTAATCTCTTGAATGTACTTCCCTAAAGCAATCTTTCTTCAAAGACTCATGGTGTATTTTTTCTTCCATCATTGGTATCATTGATTCGACTTATATACATATTTTCATATACGTAGCTTACGTAAATGCAGCTGAGAAATTCTAATTTACACCCTGAGATCTAACAGTTTTTCTCAACTTCTAATAATGGTTGTAACACAGACCCCAAGCGTGTAGCACATTTTTGAACCAATATCAAAAGGGCAATTAGCGATACTTAACAATGACGCAGGACCTTAAAACATGAAACTGTTTGACAATAACAGCTCCTTAAGTCATGCTTCTTGTGTGGAGAATAGATTTAGTGGAACTTTGAGCATATGGTTGATTTAATAACGATTATGATCACAGGTGTATTCCACAATGTGTAGGGTTGACCAATAATCCGCACAAAAGGCACCGCTCGAAAATATAGCTAAAGACAACAACACTGACACAATGTATTGTTCTCATGAGAATTACCCTTCTTGAAACATGTGTTATTGTATGCAACAAACTCGCTCTATCATTGAAAATCCAAGTTTTGTACATATATACTGAACATCATTGAGAACGCACCACTTATAAAAGTTCAGATTATTAAAAGCACTTGTAAGGAATTGATATTTTTAGTGGATAAAAACAGATGGACGACTGACAAAAACAACAACACAGAAAAGACGCTTATTCATTGAAACGTTCCACAGTCAGAAAGGATGAAACACACGTGGGGTCAAGTCGAAAAGTCAATATCGCGTGTGACCGCCATTTGCATTGACACATGCAGTTCAACGTCTCCTCATTGAGTCAATAAGCGTTCGAATAGAGTTATTGAGGATGGTATTCCACTTCTGCAGTAGTGCAGCCTCAAGTGCCCGGACGTTTCGCATCTGTTGTCGCCGCGAAAGACTTTGACCAATTTCGTCCCACAAGTGTTCCATGGGGGATACATCTGGCGACTGTGCTGGCCAATGAATAACCTGGATATGTTGCTGGGCCAGATACTGCATGGAAAGTCTTGTTGTGTGTGCCCGTGCGTTGTCCTGTTCAAAAGTATGGACATCGTGGTGGTGATTGAAGACAGAAACGATGTGATTCTGAAGAATCTGGTCACGGAAATAAAAGGCATTAACTCTCCCTTGACTGACATGAAGTCACTCCTGTGATTGTAATTTATTCAACGCCAGACCATGACACTCCCACCACCCACCCACTCTGAACCACACACTCATCAGCATAACGTTCACCACGTCTACGCCAAACACGTAATCGGCCGTCAGCATTACGTAGATGAAGACGTGACTCGTCAGTAACTACCACACCATGCCACTGTTGTAACCTTTACTGAAAATACCTGATAGCCCATTGCATACGCTTATGACGGTGTCTGTCAGTCAGAATTGGTCCAACGTAAGGACGTCGAGCATGGAGCCCTTTAGCGTGAAGACGGCGTCGCATGGAGTCAGCGTTGATGACCCCCCACGTCAACCTTGAACTAGTGCAGCAGTCCTGGCAGTCGGCAGTGTTCAATCACTGATATGGACAAGGTCAATATGGCGATCCTGATGGAGCGTCGTAACATGTTGTTGCCAAGGTCATTGAAGGTCACGGTTGCTGTCTGTCTACTGATGTCGTCTATGCAGCCTAACGGTGGTGGAGTGGCCAAGTCCAAGTTGTCGAGCAATATCCCTGCTGCTGGTGCCAACCTGAATCATGCCTAGTGCACGTTCTCTTTCGTAAGGTGATAGCCTCGGCATCTCTGCCCTCGTTTCACAATCATTAGTGAAGCAATGAGAATCGGTTCTCATACATTTGCTTTTAATGTCAGTCAGTATGATTTCAGAATGAAATTCGCGCTTTTTTCATGGCGTGGCTGCATGTTGATGCATTTTGGAATTAAGAGTCATACTGTGGACAGGAATTTGTTTCTAAAGCATTTTTTCAACTGGACATGCCCTTCGACTTCTTTAGTTATATTCATTGATCATTGTCATGCTGAAATCCATCTTGATGAAAATATGGACAATTTTAGACTGGTGCGTTTTCAATGATGTTCAGTATATTATGTACTCGTTGTTCCGTTATCGTAAACACCAAGCTTATAACCAGAGCTCTGAGCACAGTAAACGTTAACTAAGGCCTGTCTATTTGGTAGTGAATGACCGACCTATCCAAAACCAGGTTCTTATTGTTATATGAGTACGAAACTCTCGACCAACGTGTTAGTGATGTGAATGGTTACAAATGGAAACTTGATAAGGTACATCCTGGAAGCTGGAGCGGAGGGGGATGCTAAGTCAAGGAGTGAGGGGTCGGACGACCGGGGCTCCTAACTAACAGCATCGCATTCATGTACTGGCGCACATTCGTACAATGATTAACTCAACATCAGGTTCTTACTCAATCCCTCTCTCCATTACAAGGTGACTTGGACTGGACAGAACAGGGCCAGCGGTGGAACTGCAACTATTGCGAAGAGAACGTTCTGCTGAGTTTGAAACCCGTACCACTTTGCTTGTGTTCACGGTATCTTTTGAAGGTGTTCGAGCCAGATCCGCATTTGTCACATGTCCCGATACAATATTTCTGATTCGTTTAAAGTTAAATCATTCCATGGTCTCATGTCGTACCTTGTGATCAGAGAATTACTGTAAACTACCCATCAGTGATACACCGTTAACTAGTACTTTAAGAGTCTTTATGGATTCTGTTACTCCTAGATATTATGTTCTCTATCTCTTGATTTATTGCCAACAACGATAGCATCCATTCTATCACGAACTAAACGCAATTCTCAATAACGTTTTTTCCATACTTTTCGTAGTCATGATATCAAAGATGAACAAGATGATAAAGAACAAGAAACTCGAGAGAATGAAACATAATCATTTAAAAAAACCCGAAAAACCCGAAAGTAATTACTGAAACGAATATACACTCTTCAAAACACTAAACGCATAGGTGATTTTGAGATTATTGGGCTCATGTGGCTGCGGCAAAAACAATATAAATATACTATTTCTTTCCAAAACGTCATCTTTAGGTGATTGTAAACAGCCAAAACGCGGCACTTTTAACTTCTTCCCTTAATATTCACCAAAACGTCACCAACAAAACATGTACAGCAAAATGCATTTGCAAGGAAGCGGAAAAGCATGCGAATCGATCACTATAAAAAAGCAAACGTTGTGTTCAACTTTGTACTTCGTTTTTTCCTGGAAAAGAGGAAATCATCATACCACGACTGAGCGCCGCAATCGAAGCTGGGGAGTCGCAGTCTGCAGTTGCCCGACATTTCAACGTTCACCAAAGCACCATATCTCGCCTTTGGGATCGTTTAATGCTGACCAATTCCGCCCAGATCAACCGAGAAGCGGCCGTCCAAGAGTTACCACCCAAGCCTAGGACCGCTACATCCGGGTTGCTCACACACTTGTGTCATCGTTTTGCCACAGCCGTGGAGACTGCACAACGCATCTCTGTTTTGAGAAGAATTTCCAACCGAACTGTCAAGAATCAATTATATGTACGTGAAGTGGAGATACGAAAAGAAGGCCAGTTGTCGCCCTTGTTTTGAGAGACTTTCATCGGCGCAGTCGCTTGCGGTGGTGTCGTAGAGTCTGGAAATGAAACCTTAGAAACTGGAGTTGAGTCTGGTTCAGTGATGAATCACGATTTCTTCTTCACAGGCGAGATGGAAAACAGCGTGTTTACCGTCGGTAAAATGAACATTTGGCCCCTGTTTGCATTCAACAGCTCGACTGATTCGGTGGAGGAAGTATGGGGTGCGATATCCAGCACACAGAGAACTGATTTAGTGGTGTTTCAAGGGAATGTGACAGCAAATCGGTACATCAACGAAGTCTTTGCACGACACATGCTTCCGATTATGGGCTGACAGAGTTGTTCCAGCATAACAATACTACTTCACATAAAGCACGCGTCACGGTCCGCTACCTTGCCAATTCTAACGTCAATGTCTTGCCATTGCCTTCCCGATCACCAGATCTAAACCCGATAGAACACCTATGAGATTAACTCGATCGACGTGCAGGTCAAGGTCACAACACGCATCAGACATTTCCACAACTGGCCATCGCATTGCAGGAAAAGAGGGGCAAGAATTCGCAAGAGCGACTTCATCGACTTATCCAGTCTGTACCGAGCAGTAATTGCTGCCAATGGTGGCCATACATACTGACTTTGACGCGAACTTGTGGACCCAAGAAACAGAAATACAACAATAAGGCTGCTGTTGTGTTGGCGAACCCTTTGTCTAAAGACCTGTGATATTTACCATTGAAATGCTCATGCTAATAAAGGTTGTCACCCCCAGCCTATTGTCACCCCAAACCTATTGGCATGGATATAGTTCTTTCAAAAACGTTATCTTTGTAATAATTGCTCTGAAACTAACGCAATAACTCTTCTAACAATGTCTTATACGTTACTGTTTTTTAAGTGTGTACAACAACCAGATATATTAACGGTGTCGTGTATCCCAGATGGAGCAGGGTTTTGTGTTTCAAAAACTGAAACAGTAAGATATGTTTGGTATCGTTAGGAAACTTGGAATGTCGTAGTTAGGGAAGTTTCGATGACATCCGTGCTATTTTGGAAACCGCACTACTACGTATAAAGGGGACAATCTTCACTGTTAGTAGATAGTATATCATTATTGAGACAGCATGTGCTGCACCAGACACTGCTCCACCAAGCCATGTAAAAACAAAGTATAACGGGAAATCATATGATGCCATCTCTTGTTTCATGACGTTATCGGGCCGCCATACACCTGCCTCTTTTCATAATGCCATGGGTTGATGACCGAGATATCATACATTATTTTATGATAAATATCGTTTCCAAATTCAACTATGCCAACTTTGCCTTCCGTTGAAGGGCGGCCACTTAATATAAAAACCACTATTAGCACACTTGTCCGGAAAATACCTTTTTCATTTACTTTAAGGTTTCTTAAATATATACAACGCTCATCGCCGATAGGAAGTCTAGGTATCACATGCTATCATTAGTTCACTTTTTCAACTGGAACAGTGACATTAACCCTGCATACGAATTCATATCATACGATCGTTTTCCATGAATTGTACACATGCAGGCGCCATGAAGGGATCTTGTGTTGTGAACAAAAAAGTTTCTTTTTCGGTTTGTAACATGAATTTCTATCTTACCAATTTGAAACGTGGCATTCCGCTAACGTGGTAACTTGGTCATTTTTATTGGTTCAACTTCAGGTCCAATGAAAGTTATCATTCCTATGTTGGTCTCAAGCATAAAAAACCCCATCCATAATGATTGGAGTATGTACTTTTCGAGTACTTTATTGCATTTACAAATATTACCAATTGAAAGTTTGGAACTTCAAATGTTTAGATTGCGTAGAATTATCAAAAATGTGCAAGTACGTGAATGACAAACTGTGGAAACCCCAAAGATTGTGACTGTATTGTCTTTCTGCCTCAGACCTTTCAGATATCAAGAAGAAGAGTGAGTGAGT